ACGGTGCCGCATGTACTGTTCTACGATTGTCGTGGCCTAGCCAGGTGAGAAAGAAGACATGTTGACTGGACGGACCAGAACAAGGTCAGAGTATCGACTCTGCCGGAGCTTGTGTCCTTTTGCAGAGGAGAGCATGGCCGTTGTGCGGAGGAGATAGCGAGGCTTGGAGGGAGGGGGCAGGTGGGCGGTTGGAGAGGGGCTGAATACATGTGCATGTCTTGATGTAGGTACCCCCTCGTCTACACTACAAACGTGTCGCATGCCTCGACAACGGAGGTCCCGCTCACTTCGGCTCGGCCTTGAGGCGTGCGGACTGCGGGAGCGTTGGCAAGAAGCATGTCCCGCAAGCAGCCGGAGTAGCATATCGTCCACAATTGTACCGCGGGCCATGACTCGTTGTAGCCACCGAACCCCGAGCTGTTTACTTGACATTTTTGGTGTGTCAAGACATGTGTTGTTAAGCGAACCGGCCAGCGGCCTCTCTGCGTGGTGGATTGTTTCTTGTTACGATAAGAACCAATGTAATTTGTTGCATATTAGTTGATGTGAGCATTCACCGAGAGCAACATTGTGGCCAGGTGTCAGCAGTGAAGTGACTATGGCCATCAGGAAGTACCTAGGTATACTGCCACGCACATCCGCTCTAGACCATGGGCTGCAAGGAAGACGATAGAAGATCAAAATTTCGGACGTTGCTTCGGGTTTATTCGTGCCTCTGACTGCAATGTGCGCAGAGGAGCCATGGTAGTGGTAGGCTGTGGTAGGCGTTGAACATCCGGCATGGCGGCATGGCGGCACAATGGAAGCTGAGCTGGTGCGTCCATTGGCCCGGTTGAGTGCGTATTGCATGGCGTAGGAAGATTACTGAGGGAGACGCGAAGAGAGCGCGAGAGCCCTCGATAGAACCAAAGGCATTGGATGACGGAACGCTGTTGGGAAAATGGTGGAATCAGATGCTAGCCAAGGCGATGTAGCCAAATAGCACCGCACTGGTGCGTGCGGCGAGCCAAAGAATCCACGGCGCAATGCCAAGCTAACGTTGAAGCCCCCTGCGACGGTGATCTGTTGTGGGCTTTAGCAAGTTCCCAATGGGGCCAGATGCAGCGCACCATGTCCTAACCCCACGCTGGTTGGTGGTGAGTGTCGGAGGACGTAATCATTGCGAACCGAGTAGCTTGCTCCTGCATCCGCAGGCACATCAAGGTACTTTGTTGACATACGGCTGTGCCGGCCGTCAGCAGCCCAATGCACGGCGGAGTATGTTAGTTTGAAATATCGGCGCTCATCGGGAGAAGGGATAGGCGTGGCATGAGCAAGTCGAAGCAAGCGGACAGACGATGAATTCAATAGCGGATATGTTCCGTGGTGTTGAGGTATGGAGCATGGCCGCAGGATCCGTATTCTGCGACATGGAGCGGACATTTGATTGACAAGCATTCGTCAACGATGGCCGGGCTCGTCGACAACGGTTGGGGCGCTCCGGGGTGGTTCGTTTTGAGGGCCATGCCGGTGGACGGCGCATGCGGCCGTCGAGTTCCATTGCGTACGGGACGAGTGGCCGAGGCAGGGCAAGATCTGGAAATTGGGCCAGCAACCGGACGCTGGAGATTTAAGGTAGGCTGCGAGTTTGAAGGCACCCCTGTCTCATGCGTCTACATCTCAGGAGGAGGTAATCGAAAACGTCTTTTGACATGTCGGCGGAGGTCGGTACCTGTGGATGGGATCGGTAACAACCGGCGCAGATGGGGTTTGACGTTGGGAAAAGGCGGAACGGCCAGAAGCTTGGACACCGTCAGGGGAACTGAGCGAGGTGGCTGAAGAAGGATGCACACGGCTGATGGTGAGATGGAGACGCACTCAAGGTGCTTTGAGAAGAGAAACCTAGGCAAGGAACCAAGTAGGACGGGTACCTTGCACCGAGTTAGTCAGTAGCCAAGGAGAAGAAGAACACTTGGGGGAGGCGATGGTCTGCTGTGAAATCCAAGTCCTGATTGACCGAGTGTTTTGGTGACGAGAGGTAGATGTGGAAATGCACGCAGTCAATTTGGCAGCGGGGCCATGAGCAAGCCTCTCGCAGCAAGGAAGGAAGGCAATGTGAGCAAGGAACCGTTGGGGGAGGAAACCGGTGAAGTAGGTGAGGTGAGGTGAGGTGAGATGGGATGACATAAATGACACGAGATGAGGCGCACCTCCCTTGGGACTTCCAGGTCAATGGTGAAGGCGACGGAGGAAGGAAAGCAGATTCCGCGCCTGAGCCACACACACATCCACACACACAGGCAAGCGCATGCTCCCACCAACAACCACAATCTTACTAACCTCATGCCCTCCAACACGGAGGTTCTCAGGACAATATGCCGAGTCAATTGCTCACTTGCCTCAACGTCACATTCGTCCATGTTTCGGCGGAGTTCAGTCATGAATGGGGAGACGCTAAGGCAAGCTCCTCTCGCCCATCTCATGCTAAAATAGACTGAGACATGATCCGGCAAGTCGCTACAAGAAGGCAACCACAAACATTTGGTGTTCCATTGTCAAAATGCACCAGTCGCAGGTAACGCAACCCTTTTCTCAAAAATCAGAAAGAAAAAAGGACCTTCGCTCATGGTTCCGAATAGACATGCTAATGTCGATACTAAGGCAATCCCACCCATCAGTCCTGTTGGAATGACTCTCCGTCACTCCGTAGCCTCTTCCAACCATGGCTTAGGATCGACTTGGCCAGGATGTTTTCGACAATTCCTTCCATCCATGTGCCACCCGGGTTGCTTGCGGTGCTTTCTACCCGTACGCCAACCTCGCCCGGCACCTGGTCACACACTACCACACACATTGGCGAGACGAATCACCTAAACAATCGTCTCGCGCACCTGAGTGTGGCAGCCGCCGCCGAACCGCCGATCCGGCAGCCACCAGCTCCAGCTCTCTCACAGCTCCAGCTTGTCTTCACCCTCGCCTTGCCATCTTCAACGTCACCCGTTCCGTCCATTCAGCTTCCTTCGCTCCATGTTACCAAGGCGCGTCCGATCCGACCCTGTCCTATCCGTTTGCCCGTCCTGTATTCTATTACGGAAACCCATCTTCTCTGGGAAAAGGCGCGGCGTCCTCCCGTCCAGATGTGGCAAGGCTTCGTCTTGCCTTCTTCGGCTCGTGTTCAATCGAGATCATGACAGACCTACAGCGTCCCCATGCCGTCGTCGCACACCACACCAAATCTAGCCATCCACATCCTACCTCGTCCTTGTCGGCTCCTACAGACACCATGCAAGTGCTTTCTGATGTCAGGCCCAAAACTGTGTGGGATGGACTGATCGCTGTCTCACGCGAATGCAGGTAGTTCACAAATCGTTTTCTTCTCAGGTTGGCCGGCTTCATGGCTTGCAGCCTGCAGGACGGACCAGCTAGATGTGGTCACTTAGTGCGAGGTGGGAATGAGGGGACCCCGAGATAGAGGCCGGCACGAGCCATGTGCAGCAGCACATACAACCTTCTGGCATGTTTTTGCTACTTCTTCTCGTAAAACAGCCGCCGTACGCAACTCACATGCTTTATACCAAAGATTCCCGGACCTGCTGCGTGCTCACTCTCGGCCGGCACGGGAGAAGTCGTGGATGGGTGTGCCACAAGTGTCTGTGCATCCCATCCGGTCCGGAACCTGGCGAGCAGCAACTTCCAGCTGCCCCGTCGGCCACCAAGACTGAGACAGGAGGGAGGTGGGCGAGCTTGATGATTGATGGAGACCATCTGCGTAATCTCCACCACCCCAGCGCTCGCTCCGCAACTCAGCGCACTGCGCAAGACAACGCAGCATGGGGACCTGAGTGGCTCTTCGCTTGCTCGTACCAGCCTACGCATGTTTTGTCTGGCCAATTCATTCAACCCCAATGGAAGCGATCTACAGGCTACGGGAAATATTCGCGCCTCTTTGCGAGGACTAACCGCGGGGCCGTAATCATCACGAAAACGGCATCCGCCCCGGCCAAGTCGGGCAAGGATCAGGAGCATCATGGACCGTCAACCCTGTCGGTCCTGCCGTCGCAATGTGGCAGGTCAGACTGAAGAATGCGAGTGCAGAAGCAACAGCACTGCATCAGTCACTCCTTTGCCTGCGCCGCTCATCAGATATCAGAATCATCTGAGCATACAATGGCACTCCTCCGTGCTCTGGACAGCAGCAGTCAAGTAGCCTGGCGTCACCCATCTTCCAGGCGTGCTGCGTACACGCACACATATGCACCCTCTTTTCGTTTTGTTGACCACCAATCGACGAGTAGAGGGACGGTAAGCCGAAGTGACTGGAGAGAGGCAAGAAAGAGGCAAAGACGAGCGAGCGATATGCGCGAAGGATTCAGTCGAGGGACCTGCAGGTCCGAGAGATAAGTTTTGCTCGGTACTATTCACAAAATCCCAGCAGCGGCAGAACCAGAGCAACAAAACCCGTAGCATTCGCAGCCAGACTTGACCCTCTTCTGGCCTGGCTGCGTGTGCTTGTCCAAGTATGGTCTGGTCTCTGCTTGATAATGGGTCTGGCGAGTGACGAGTACCCATAATAAGCAGCAATGAATGCTTGTTCATCCGCTCGATTCGACTCCACGCCGGCCGTCCGTTTGTCAGATGTGAAGACTGGGGGGTTTTCTATGTACACACAACGGCCCAGGCCATGCCAGGGTCTCTCGTCAGTGCGTGTCGACTGCGCGCCGACCTTTTTTCTTGTCTTTCTTCTCCCTACCCCCTTCCATGCCTAGTGACTAGAGGCAGCTATTCTCCAATTTATCAGGATTCTACCCCTCCCGGTTTTATGAGAGCCTGCGGCTGAGGTACCACTCACTTCCTTGTCGCTACTGTCGCTGTTGCTGATGGACACCAGGTTGCTGCTGCTGATTGATTAGCAGCTACCGCCATCGGATCCCCATTCTCTTGTCTCCCGTCCGGCTTCGTCTCCCATGCTTTTGCTGCCTCGGAGCCATCTCGAATTCGACGAGCCGCTCAATCGACCTCGCCTAGACTTTTCCCGCCGAGCCAGCCCTTGTCGCCGTCCGTCCGCCGTGACTCTCCAGGGCAAGACCACTGACGGAAGGGCTCTGTTCCTGGTCCTTGTCGCCAGCAGCTCCTCCAGGACCTGCCTCTGATTCTCTCTCCACCTTTTGTCTCTGGATGTGCAGATGTCCGGTCGTACTCAAACGAATGATGGAATCTGCCCACTCGAGCAGTGGATCTCCAAATCTCGCCGTGCTGCCATTTTCCACACCAACTAGCCGCTCAACCATGGAGAATGGAGAAGGGCGACGACCAACCAAGGCAAAAAGACCCTCCCTGGTGCGCGCAGGGTATGGCGTTATTCGCGCGCTACACTAGGCTCTCGCAAGTATTATCCATCCAGCAAGAAACCAAAAAACGAAAAAAAAGGTGCTAGCCTCTCTTGTCGCTTTTCGTCGCCTCTCAGGTTTGGGCTCCTCCTCCCCCCTCTCTGTGCTGTCCTTCAAGCCGTGCCCTCATACAGCCTCCACAGGCTGCGGTCGTTTCGTTCCCCTCCCCACCAGATCGTCTCCGCCCTGTGATTCGCGTTTCCCCAGTCGCCGTGCATAGCGCAACGGGACCAAGAAGAGGAGCAAGAGGAGAGAGCAGGGACTGGTATCCGTGTCTCCAGCCGCCTCTGACTGACTGCTTACTGTCGTGTCGTTTCGGTCCAAGGGTCGAGGTTCGAGGGACCTCGACTATCGTGGTCCGCGGACCGTGTTCCATGGTTGAGTCCAGTCTCGGTTCAATAAAACTTGGTTGGATTAATAAGGGAATCGGGGTAGAGGAACCCCAAGCCTGTTTTAATTTCCATTGTGAACCCGTCTCTCTCTCTCTCTCTCTCTCTCTCTCTCCACATCAACAGTAAACACAGCTCGCCGAGGGAGGGGAGCAGATGGGATGGGAAACGATGCGATGCGATGCGAGAACATATCGCGGCGCTACTGGTCGCAAGTGCTGATGCCAGGCCGATGCGATGCGTCTACGGGAGACACTGATTGATTGTCGTATGTCCATAGGCGGGCTATCTGACTGCTTGCTAAAGAAGCGTCGTCCCAACACGGAGCCACAAAAGCCAGCCTCTGGACCCCATCCACACCCACACAAGACCCCCAGCCCATGCCTAGCCGGTCGTCAGTCCAGCCCATGTTAGAGACAAGAGGCAGCAGACGCAGGCGTGTGTAGACGCAACGGCGGCGGCAGACGCAGCCTAGGAGGCAGGCAGGCAAGCAGGTGGGCAGCGCAGCAAAGAGTGGGCGAAAGGCAGAGAGAGAAAGATACTTGCGTTGCGCTGGTGGATTCTTCCCCTCCAAGTACGCGCAAGTACCGCCGTTGTACTCTTGGGGCCCTGGCCGGGGTATCTGTAGGAGAGATGTCGATTTAACGCCTCTTTGCCTCTTGTCCTCTTTTTTTTCTGCAACTGGCACACACGCCCCTTACGCCCCCCCTCTCCCACCCCGATGCAACCGCCGACCACCCCTCCCATCCCCTCCCCTCCCCCTCCCCTCGTCTGCCCCAATACCCTTACAGATGAACGTGATGCATGTGTATCTGCGGCGAGAGTGTGGTGTAGCTAAGAAAGCACACAGGACGAGTAGGTGCCAGTCTAGACGAGGTACCTTCAAGACCCGTCGGCTTGCCTTCTTGCACCACAATCTTAGGCAGGTCAAGCAAGACCTTCGTACATCCATTACATTGCAACAGACACCACCCATCCATACCTATCGAGTACTTTTGGCCTTGTTTGGATGGAGCCACCATTACCGTCCCCATGCATGGGCGCATCTCTAAACTAGACAACCCATGCATGTCTGCCAACCCTCCACCACATCTGGCTGCGTATATATCCTTGTCCCTCGCCCCAGGACTGCTCTTCTCACCTCGGACGACCTCATCATCACTTCTTCTCTTGGGTCACTGTTGTTTTTTAAAAGACCAATTGGTCCGCGCAATGGCTTGAGTTCCCATTGTCGTCTTTCCTCGCTGTATAATACTTTGTTTGATCCCCTACTCGACCCTCCCCTTCCAACATCCCATACACGCGGCCTGGGTGTTGGTCTTCCCTCTTGCCCGTGTCACTCTTTGATACCACACACAACAACGGACGCAGACAAGGCGCTCTGACAGTCTGACCTACTACCTCGATCGTTAGAGTCCTTCTAGACAGGAAGAAGAGACTTGAGGATAGAGCGAAAGAGAAAGAGAGGCTTTGGAAGCTGCACGACGACATACACGCACACTCGCACGCACACAGACACATCCTCATCGTCGAGTCCACGTTCTCCGGGAGTATCGACAGCCATCCTATACTACTCTTGCCCTACGAGCGTAATACCTTGAGGATAGAAGAGCAGTTTTGGTTTTTCTTTCTTTCTGGAGACGTCGTCCAGGTCTCTCACTTCTAGTTCACCTTTTTTGGTGGCGTCTTGAGACTGCTGAAAGGTTTTTTTTTCTTGCGCTGCCAAGTTCACGTACTTCAGCCAAAGCGATCCACTTTATCTGGAATCAACACCAGATATCAAGGACGACAGCAGGAAGTCACGCGGCTCCTTCCAAATTCACCAGGACGACCACTTCACAAGTAGAGAAGGCACGCTAAGGACCTGCAACTCGTTTGCCACCTTGGACCTGCAAGAGTCTTTCTGCACAGTCAACGTTGTCTCTCAACCCTCCTCATCGGCCACCAACCTCACCCGCGAAATCTCGCTTGTGACCTCGTTGGTTCTACCTCCCAAACTCTAAACACATCACGATTCCATTTAATTTCTTTATTTTGGAACGTCAAATCCCCCACCCAAACACCTCGAAGAAGCGCATCAAGATGGCGGCTGTCATGAATCTCTTCTGGCCGAATCTCGGCTTTGGCTGGTCTCCCAGCGCCTGGATGTACCTCTTCGTCTTCCTTTGGTAAGTCACAACTTTTTATCGAGCAGTTCCATCTTGCACCACTGCTACCCCAGGGAAACATGTCTTCTACTGTTTCGTATTTGCAATGTCTAACGCCCTTGGTCCAGGCTTCATCGATACACACGTCTGCTTGTCAATTGTGTCAGCCATTGGGTGTACAAGTCCAAGCCCATCCCCGCCAAGCCGACTTTCACTGCCGACGACGTTACTGTCATCATTCCTACCATCCACAACGTCTTCGAGGAGCTTCGTCCTTCTCTTCTCAGCATCATCGCCTGCAACCCCCACGTCCTGATGCTCGTCACCACCACTGAGAAGCACGCTTCCCTGGAGAAGCTCGCTAGAAGCCTCCCTCATCCCAACGTCCAAGTTTACTCTACCCCAATCGCCAACAAGCGCCTCCAAGTCTGTGAGGCGTTGCCCAAGGTCACCACCAAGATCACCATTATGGCCGATGACGATGTGACTTGGCCTTCCACTCTGATGCCCTGGATCCTCGCTCCCTTCGAGGACCCCAAGATTGGCGGCGTCGGCACTTGCCAGAGAGTCAAGCGCGTCTGGGAAGGCCCACTGTCCACTCGCATCTTCAACTGGCTGGGTGCTGCTTACATCGAGAGACGCAACTTTGAGATCTCTGCCACCCACAACATTGATGGCGGCACCTCCTGCATGTCTGGCAGAACCGGCGCCTACCGGTCCGAGATCCTCTCTAGCCATGACTTTCTCGAGGGCTTCAAGACCGAGAAGTGGGGCAAGTACATCCTCAATGCCGACGATGACAACTTCGTCACCCGCTGGCTCGTCAGCCACCAGTGGAAGACCTGGATTCAGTACGAGAAGGAGTGCGAGCTTGAGACCACCCTCGAGAACAGTACCAAGTTCCTTTACCAGTGCTCCCGATGGGCTCGCAGCAACTGGCGCAGCAACTGGACCAGCCTTGTCCGAGAGAGATACGTTCTTACGTGAGTATTAATCCCCCCTCCCCCACTTTGGGGATCTCGACCCCTCTTATCCTACGCCGCACTGGCACACCTGGTTAGCACGCACACAAAATACTAACCTATGACAAATACAGTCAGCAACCCTGGTGCACCTACGCTCTCCACATTGCGACTTTCACCTCCTTGGCCTTCCTCTTCGACCCCCTCATTATCCTGGCTCTGTGGAAGGGTACCGCTGAGTGGGATATCGAGAGCCGCAAGCAGGCGCTCTGGGCTCAGATCATCTTCGTTTTTGGCTTCACCAAGGTCGTCAAGCTCATGGGGCTCTTCCGTCGCAACCCTAGCGATCTCCTCTTCCTGCCTGTGTCCATCATTTTCGGCTATGCTCACGGCATCATCAAGCTCTATGCCTTGTCGACACTCAAGATGGTGAGTGGCTGGTGTTGTGCTTAACTTCTTTCCAGACCAGTCAAGCTAACGCCTTTTTTACAGACTTCTTGGGGCAGCAGAGCTGACGGTGACACCAACGACGACATCCGTCTCACCCCTCGTCCTAAGCGAGCCATGAGCCTGACCACGCCTCCTGGTGGTCAGGACCTCGTCCGCTACCGCCACGAGCGCCAGATGACCGAAAAGGTCTCCGACTGGCACCGCCCCGCCACCGAGCCGCGCAGACCTCAGACTGTCCGGATGAACACCTTCCCCGCCAAGGACATCAAGGCTCCGCACGTCACCTTCTCGCTCCTGGAGCATCCCTCGGATTAGAATCCAGAGTGGCCGGAACTTACGAATTATGAAATTGCGACGAATGGGTTATTGCCAGAGGTGAAACAGAACTCTGGCCGGGTGGCACCCTTCCCTTCCCCTGGAAAGGGAGAAGCAGGAATTTTGTTTGGTTGTCAGCCAACGTTTTCGGCTACAACCATCGTCTTCTTTTTTTTTCGACTTTCTTCCCCCGGAAAAGAAAACCAACCAAAACGGATTTTGAGGCGAGAAAAAGTTTTGCTGTTGTTCTTTACTCCTTCTTACGACGGATACACGATCGATCGCATACGGGAAACGGAACCACAGCACAACAAACATGTGTGTGTCGGATCATAATCATCAATGGCATCAAACCAACATCATGGGCGAGGAGGAAAGAGCGGGTTGGTCATCTGCCTCCAGGGATACGTTTTCCTTTCCTGGATTTCGGCCGTTTTTATCCTTTTTTCCTATGCAAGAAAAAACCAAAATGGGGATGGTGGATCGTTTGGCCTTTTGTGATTTATCCTTTTCCTTCTTGTTCGCGAGAAAAAAAGAACAGTCGGGAGGGGCATCGCGCGGCGGGCAGGCAAGCTTTTTTTTTGTATGATTCTCAACATGATAACCCCAAAGAGCGGCGGCATTCTATTTTTGAACCA